CCTCTCGACTCACGTTCGTCAGTGGCGCTGCTGGCTTGGAGTTGATTATGCTCTTGTTTTTGTTGTTGTTGTTGTTGTTGTTGTTATGTTGTGTTATGTTTGTTTTAGTGTTTTAGTGTTAATGTTATTTTTATTTTTGTCATTATCGTTTTCTTTCTCTCTCACTCTCACTCTCTCACTCTCTCACTCTCTCACTCTCTCACTCCCTCCCTCCCTCCTTCTCCCTCTCCCTCTCCCTCTCTCCCTCTCCCTCTCCCTCCCTCCCTCCTCTCCCTCCATCTCCCTCCTCTCCCTCCCTCCCTCCTCTCCCTCCCTCCTCCCTCCCTCCTTCTCCCTCTCCCTCTCCCTCTCCCTCTCGCTCTCCCTCTCCCTCTCTCCTTCCCTCCTCCCCTCCTTCCTTCCCTCCATCCATCCACCTCCCTCCCTGAGTCCCTCCATCTCCCTCCCTCCTTCCTCTCCCTCCTCTCCCTCCTCCTCCTCCTCCTCCTCCCACTCTTCCTCCTCCTCCTCTCCCTCCTCTCCCTCTGCTGCATCCACTTTCCCTCCTCTCCCTCCTCTCCCTCCTCTCCCTCCCTCCCTCCTCCCTCCCTCCTCTCCCTCTGCTGCATGCACTTTCCCTCCTCTCCCTCCTCTCCCTCCATCTCCTCCCTCTCCCTCCCTCCCTCCCTCCTCTCCCTCTGCTGCATGCACTTTCCCCCCACATCTGGTGTCGAAATTCATGTGTTTTTTTTGGCATGTGGTCCGCGCCGTTAAATGCGTCTCTTGACATGTGTGTTTACCGGGAAACAACTGACACTTGGACTAGGCCTATGTGTGTCATGAGGAGATGAAAGGGGGGTAGGGGAGGAGAAGTGGAGTGTCATATGGGGGAAGAAGAAGGAGGGGAGTGTCATGAGGGGGGTAGGGGGGCGTTATGAGGGGGGAGGAAGGGGAGCCCACCCCATCTACCTTCCCTCCCTCTCCTTCCCCTTCCCCCTCCCCCTCCCCCTCCCCCTCTCCCCCTCCCTCTCCCTCTCCTCTCCCTCCCCCTCTCCCTCTCTCCCTCTCCCTCTCCCTCTCCCTCCCCTCTCCCTCTCCCTCTCCCTCTCCCTCTCCCTCTCCCTCTCCTTCCCCCTCTCCCTCCCCATCTCCCTCTCCCTCTCCCCCTACCCCACCCCCACCCGCAACAGCTGTGACAGGTGTATCTAGCGTGAGGGAAACAGGTGTTCCTCTCGACTCACGTTCGTCAGTGGCGCTGCTGGCTTGGAGTTGATTATGCTCTTGTTTTTTGTTGTTGTTGTTGTTGTTGTTGTTGTTGTTATTGGTAATGTTGTTTATTGTTTTAATGTTATTTTTATTTTTGTCATTATCGTTTTCTTTCTCTCTCTCTTTCTTTCTTTCTTTCTTTCATTCTTTCTTTCTCTCTTTCTCTCTTTCCTTCTATATATATATATATCTGTCGTTATGTTCCTATCATTATTACTGTTTATTATCCCTCTTTCATTTCATTTTCTTTCCCTTTACTTCCCACCCATCTGCCTCCCCCCCCCACCCCCCTCCCGCCAGCCACCTTTAAATTTAACCCTTTCATTTAACCTTAACCCTAGGCTTAGTTTTACATAGCTCTCCTCTCTCCCCCTCCTCCTCCTCTCCCTCCTCCTCCTCCCACTCTTCCTCCTCCTCCTCTCCCTCCTCCTCCTCCTCCTTCCTCCTCCTCCCTCCTCCTCCTCCTCCCACTCTTCCTCCTCCCCCTCCTCCTCCTCCTCCACCTCCTCCTCCTCCTCCCCCTCTCCCTCTCTCCCTCTCCCTCTCCCTCTCCTCCTCCTCCCACTCTTCCCTCCTCCTCCTCCCACTCTTCCTCTCCTCCTCCTCTCCCTCCTCCTCCTCCTCCTCCTCCTCCTCCTCCTCCTCCTCCTCCTCCCCCCTCCCCCTCCCCCTCCTCCTCTTCCTCCTCCCCTCCTCCTCTTTCCCCTCCACCTCTCCGCCTCCTTCATTTCCTCCTCCTTAGTTTTACATAGTTCTCCTCTCTCTCTCCTCCTCCTCTTCCTCCTCCCCTCCTCCTCCTCCTCTCCTCCTCCTCCTCCCCTCCTCCTCCTCCCCTTCCCCTCCCCCTCCTCCTCTTTCCCCTCCACCTCTCCGCCTCCTTCATTTCCTCCTCCTTAGTTTTACATAGTTCTCCTCTCTCTCTCCTCCTCCTCCTCCGCCTCCTCCTCCTCCTCCTCCTCCTCCGCCTCCTCCTCCTCCTCTTCTTCCTCCTCCTCCCACTCTTCCTCCTCCCCCCCCCCCCCCCTCCTCCTCCCCCTTCCCCCTCCCTCTCCCTCTCCCCTCTCCCTCCCCCTCTCCCTCTCTCCCTCTCCCTCTCTCCTCCCCTCTCCCTCTCTCCCTCTCCCTCCTCCCCTCTCTCTCCTCTCCCTCTCCCTCCTCCTTCCCCTCTCCCCCCCTTTCCCCTCTCCCTCCCCCTTTCCCTCCCCCTCTCCCTCCCCATCTCCCTCTCCCCCTACCCCACCCCCACCCGCAACAGCTGTGACAGGTGTATCTAGCGTGAGGGAAACAGGTGTTCCTCTCGACTCACGTTCGTCAGTGGCGCTGCTGGCTTGGAGTTGATTATGCTCTTGTTTTTGTTGTTGTTGTTGTTGTTGTTGTTATTGGTAATGTTGTTTTAGTGTTTTAATGTTATTTTTATTTTTGTCATTATCGTTTTCTTTCTCTCTCTCTTTCTTTCTTTCTTTCTTTCTTTCTTTCTCTCTTTCTCTCTTTCCTTCTATATATATATATATCTGTCGTTATGTTCCTATCATTATTACTGTTTATTATCCCTCTTTCATTTCATTTTCTTTCCCTTTACTTCCCACCCATCTGCCTCCCCCCCCCACCCCCCTCCCGCCAGCCACCTTTAAATTTAACCCTTTCATTTAACCTTAACCCTAGGCTTAGTTTTACATAGCTCTCCTCTCTCCCCCTCCTCTTCCTCCTCCTCCTCCTCCCACTCTTCCTCCGCCCTCCCCCTCTCCCCTCTCCCCTACTCCTCCTCCTCCTCCTCCTCCTCCTCCTCCTCCCACTCTTCCTCCTCCCACTCTTCCTCCTCCCACTCTTCCTCCTCCTCCTCTCCCTCCTCCTCCTCTCCCTCCTCCTCCTCCTCCTCCTCCCACTCTTCCTCCTCCTCCTCCCACTCTTCCTCCTCCTCCTCTCCCTCCTCCTCCTCCTCCTCCTCCTCCTCCTCCTCCTCCTCCTCCTCCCCCCCTCCCCCTCCCCCTCCTCCTCTTTCCCCTCCACCTCTCCGCCTCCTTCATTTCCTCCTCCTTAGTTTTACATAGTTCTCCTCTCTCTCTCCTCCTCCTCTTCCTCCTCCTCCTCCTCCTCCTCCTCCTCCTCCTCCTCCTCCCCCTCCTCCTCCCCCCCTCCCCCTCCCCCTCCTCCTCTTTCCCCTCCACCTCTCCACCTCCTTCATTTCCTCCTCCTTAGTTTTACATAGTTCTCCTCTCTCTCTCCTCCTCCTCTTCCTCCTCCTCCTCCTCCTCCTCCTCCTCCTCCTCCTCCTCCTCCTCTTCTTCCTCCTCCTCCCACTCTTCCTCCTCCTCCTCCTCCCCTTCCCCCTCCTCCTCCTCCTCCTCCTCCTCCTCCTCCTCCTCCTCCTCCCCTTCCCCCTCCTCCTCCTCCTCCTCCTCCTCCTCCTCCTCCTCCTCCTCCTCCTCCTCCTCTATATCCCCCTTCCTCCTCCTCCTCCCCCCTCCCCTTCCCCTTCCCCTCCCCCTTCTCCTCCATTCCTTCCCCTCCCCCTCCTATATATCATCCCCCTCTTCCTCCTCCCCCTCCTCCTCCTCTTCCCACCCCTCCTTATACACATATATTTTTTTCTTCGTCCAAGCAAGAGTGAAAGGGTGAAGAGGAGCGAAGGCCACACAGCGTCGCCGAGTAAAAGTTGCGGTCACACATAAGGGAGCTGTCCCTGGGGGGGGATTCCTAAGGGGGGGGGGAGGGGGGGGGCAGAGGGGGGGAAGGTGGATAGGGGGACAGAGGGGGTAGGGGGGCAGGGGAGGAATTTGTTGGTTGTTGGTTGTTTGTTGTTTGTAGTTGTTTTTGTTGTTATTATTATTATTATTTAGGTATTATTATTATCATTATTATATTTAGTTTTTTATTATTTTATTATTATTATTGTTATTATTATTACTATTGTTATTTATTTACTTGTTTATTAGGTATGGGTTTTATTGTGTTGATTGAGTGTTTTTTTTCCGTTTATCTGTTCTGCCTCTTCCTCTTTTCATATTTCATTTCTTTTTCTTCTTCTTTTTTCTTATTCCTCATTCTCTCTTTTTTCTTCGTTCCTTGGTCTTCTTATTTGTTTATCGTTGTTCTTTTTTTTCTTCCATTTTCTTCGTCTTCTTTTTCTCCTATCTCTTCTTTAGCTTCTCTTTTCTTCCTCTTCTTATCCTCCTTTTTTCTTCCTCTTGCCATCCCCATCTTTCCCTCTTTCTGTTCCTCCGTCTGTCTTTCTATCTGTCTGTCTGTCTGTCTGTCTGTCTGTCTCCTTTTCTCTGGGAAGTGACGACCTGATTGATTTACGTGCAAATAAAATAAAAACAAAAAAGTGGTAACAATAGACGCGTCGGAAACTCAGAGACAAAAGCCAGATTGACAGTTTTAACAAAAAATCAAACAAACAACAGCAACAGACATGAAGGAGAGTCAAAGGCAACACAACAACAGCAGCAACAATAACAACAAGAACAACAACGGACACGGTGGAATAACAAACAATAATACGAGAAATAGAGACAAACAGAAATTACAAGAACAACAAGCCTATAACGAGCACAAAGACAACAAAGAAACAACAAACAGCAGCAAACAACAAACACAACAACGAACACAAAAACAACACAGTATAATAACAACAAAACCCGCAACAGTAAGGGCATGAAGTCAACAGTAACAACAACAACAACAACAACAACAGCAGCACCATCAATAACAGCAATAACAAATTCAAAGACGAAAAGCAACAACAACAACAACAGAAACCACAGCAATAGCACCAACAAAAGCCACCACCGCCACCACTACCATCACGAACAGGAACCACAACAACGACAACAACGACCACACCACAAACATCACCATCGCCAACAACAATCACTTCTCCACCAATGCCTCCAACAACAACCACACCAACACCATCAACATGAACCACACTGCAACACCATCGGCAAAGGAACCACCACCACCACCACCAACACCACCAACCACCACCAACTACCACCAACCACCACCAACACCACCAACCACCACCAACCACCACCAACCACCACCAACCACCACCACCAACCACCACCACCAACCACCACCACCAACCACCACCAACCACCACCAACCACCACCAACCACCACCACCAACCACCACCAACCACCACCAACCACCACCAACCACCACCAACCACCACCAACCACCACCACCAACCACCACCAACCACCACCAACCACCACCAACCACCACCACCACCACCACCACCACTACCACTAACAACAACAACAGCAGCAACAGCAACAGCAACAACGACAACTACAACAGCAACAGAAACAACAATATCAACAAAAACAAACGCAAAAACAACAACAGCAACAAGAACCACGCCCATAGCGCAGACTGTGACCGCACAAGCCTACGAATTCCTTTCACGTGGGGGGGGGGGCGAGGGAACCGTTTCTAAAGGGGAGAGAGGAAGGGTGGGATGGGGAAGGAGGGGAGGGGGAAATAGAGGAGGGGGTGGGAAGGGGAGGAAGGGAAGGGGGAAGGGGTGGGGAGGTGTGGAAAGGGAGGGGAAGGGGATGGGGAAATAGGGGAGGGGGAGGAAGGAGGAGGAGGAGGAGGTGGGGAGGAGAATGGAAGGGGAGGGCAGGGCGAGAAGATAGGAAAAAAGGAGAAAGAGAGAGAGAAAGGAAGGAAGAGGGAGAAGATTGAGAGAAAAAAGAGAGATGGAAAAGAAGATAAGAAGAGATTGCGAAGGGAAGAGAAAGAGGAAATGGAATGGGGGAAAGAGAAGGAGAAGAACAAGAAAATGGGGGGAGATAAAGAGAACAGGAAGGGGAATAATGAGAAAACGGAAATTAACATGGAGAAAGAAAAGGAGGAAAGGAAGACAGAGAACAGCCAGAGCAAGAAAGAAGGTAGGAGGAGAAAGGGAAGAGAGAGGGAAGGGAACCAGGTGGAAATCGATCGCAAGAAGACGAGGGGAGAGAAGAGAGAGAGAGAGAGAGGGAGGGAGGGAGGGAGGGAGGGAGGGAGGGAGGGAGGGAGGGAGGGAGGGAGAGAGAAAGAGGGAGAGAGGGAGAGAAAGAAGGAGAGAGGGAGAGAAAGAGGGAGAGATGGAGAGAAAGAAAGAAAGAAAGAGAGAGAGAGGAGACGTGTAAGCAAGAGGGTTTGGAGGGCATGTGTTGGGGCGCAAGAAACAGTTATTTACACGTGAGATGCGAGGCGTGTGAGATGGGGGAGATAGAAGGAAGGGAGAGGGAGAGGGGAAGGGGAGAGGGGAAGGAGGAAAGGGAAGGGGGGAAGGGCAAGGAGGGGAGATAGAAGGAAGGGAGAGGGGAAGGAGGAAAGGGAAAGGGGAAGGGGGAAGAGGGAAAGGAAAGGGGGAAGGAGGGGAGAGGGAAGGAGGAAGAGGGAAGGGAAAGGGGGAAGAGGGGGAGAAGGAGAGGGGAAGGAGGAATGGGGAATGGTGAAGAAAGAAGCGGGAAGAGGAGAAGAAAGAAGGAAGGAGAAGGAGAAGGAGAAGGAAAAGAAGAAGAAAGAGAGAGAGAGGGGGGGGGAGATATGGAGAGGAATTTATGGGTTCGAACACGTGGAGCCTACGGGGAGGGGGGGGGAGGTGCTTTCCGCATACCACATGGTCCTTCTTCTCCCCCCACCCCCCACCGATACCCCCTGCGAGGCCTAGTTGTGGTGCTGAGATCGAGGAGGAAAACAGGAAACTCTCACTCTCTTTCACCTCTCTCTCTCTCTCTCTCTCTCTCTCTCTCTCTCTCTCTCTCTCTCTCTCTCTCTCTCTCTCTCTCTCTCTCTCTCTCCCCCTCCCTCCCTCCCTTCCTCCTTCCCTCCCTCCCCCCCTCCCCCCCCCCCCTTCTCTCTCTCTCTCTCTCTCTCTCTCTCTCTCTCTCTCTCTCTCTCTCTCTCTCTCTCTCTCTCTCTCCCTCCCTCCCTCCCTTCCTCCTTCCCTCCCTCCCCCCCCTCCCCCCCCCCCCTTCTCTCTCTCTCTCTCTCTCTCTCTCTCTCTCTCTCTCTCTCTCTCTCTCTCTCTCTCTCTCTCTCTCTCTCTCTCTCTCTCTCTCTCTCTCCCTCTCTCTCCCTCCCCCCCCCCCCCCCCCCCTCTCTCTCTCTCTCTCTCTTTCTCTCTCTCTCTCATATATCTCGCTTTCTCTTATTTTGATTCCAATTGCCTCGTAAATCTTAGTCTACTTGTAAATAAGAGAGAAATCTTGTTTTAATAGCAGGTACATCATAAATTTAGTTTTAGTTACAAACGCTTCGTAAATTTTTAATGACAAATACTTCAATAAATCTTAAATCTTCGGTACTTCGTCAGTCTTGTTTTATTAAAGTACAGATGTAGCCCTAAAATACGAACGTTTCTTATCAACGTGCGTCAACAGGAAAAGGAAAAATATCTTGTAAAATGTTTTTTTTATTATTTTTTAGATACTCTCGTTTTTTTTTTTTTTTTTTTTTTTTTTTTTTTAAGTTTTCGCGTTTGAGATGAATTTCTACCGAATTTTCCAGGTTATTAGTTTGTTTGTTTTTTGTCTAACTAAACTTTAGGATTTTAGTATTTATCTGTTTTATTTATCTAAGTTATTGATTTTATTCATTGCTGGTGAAATAGCAGAGTTGTAGGCCTATCTCAATCTATCATCACATACCTGTCAATTATCAAATTGTTCCCATCATCAACTCTTCAACTTGCCATCAGTCATCACTAACCTGTCATGCGTTGGGTATCATCGAAGAGAAAAAAAAGGAAAATAGGAAAATGAGTTGAAAACTTTAGGAAAATGGACTCAGAGCAAGGTATAATCTACATGAATTTTATTAAAGGACACTTTTAGATATTATAAGTTATTTCTCTTTAAGTAAATGTTTGGACGAAGATAAGAGGAGGAAAGATACATAGAGGCATTATTTAACATATCTGTAAGGAAGAGAGCATTATTTTGCACCGAATCAACGTTGGGACGAAGATAAGACAATGGAAGACAAATATGAGGCATTAATTAGGATTTTTTTTATATAAAAAAGATACTTCTCTGTCAACCCAAAAATATACCGATTTCTCACGAAAAATTTACGTATTCATCACAAAAAAGGGAAGGGTGATTTTGTATTTATTTATTTATTTATTTATTTATTTATTAGGTATGGGTTTATTGTGTTGTTTGAGTGTCTTTTTCGGTTTATCTGTTCTGCCTCTTCCTCTTTTCATTTTTCATTTCTTTTTCTTCTGATGTTTTTTTTTTCTATTCTTCATTCTCTCTCTTTTCTTCGTTCCATTGTCTTCTTAAAAGGATACTTACTCATCACGTTTGGACGAAGATCAGATATCAGGAAACGAATATAAACATTAATTAGGGATCATATTTATAAAAAAAAATCTAACCAAAAATATACTTCTTCATTACCAAAAAAAAAGGTGTTTATTTATTATCGATCAACGTTTAGACTAAGATCAGACAACGAAGTTAAATATAAACATTAATTAGGGATCATCATCATACTAAAAAAAAAAAAAACACCATAAAAGATATTTATTTATTACCGAATCAACGTTTGGACAACGGGAGACAGATATAAACATTACTTAAGGAACATATTTATTAAAGAAAAAAAATTTACACAAAAAACCTGTTAGTTTATTATAGAGTCAACGTTTGGACTAAGATCAGACAACGACAGACTGATATAAACATTATTTATGGAACATATTTATAAAAGAAAAACAGATTTCACACCCAGAAAAAAAGCTTTATTTATTATCGAATCAACGTTTGGACAAAAATCTGATAACGGGGAGACAAATATAAGCATCGATTATGGAACAACTTTATAAAAAACAACAACATTTTACCCCAGAATAAAAAAAATATATTTATTGTCGAATCAATATTTGCTTAAGACCAGACATCGAGAGACAAAATATAAGCATCGATTAGGGATCATAATTATACGAAAAAAAGTCGCTTCCTTGGCCTCTCTCTCTCTCTCTCTCTCTCTCTCTCTCTCTCTCTCTCTCTCTCTCTCTCTCTCCTCTCTCTCTCTCTCTCTCTCTCTCTCTCTCTCTCTCTGCGCCCATCCGGCAACTTATTTGCAACTTGCTTCTTTAAGTCCTGGTGGGGGAGGGGGAAGACGGGGTGCCAGCTGTGTTTCTGTTTTTTTTTTTTTTTTTTTTTTTTTGTTTTTTTTTTGTTGTGTTGTGTTTTTCTTCCTCTGTGCTTGTGTGATTTCTTTTTTTTATTATTATTATTTTTTTTTGTTTTGAGCTGTTTTTTGCCGTCTCCTCGTCTCTGTTTCTCTCTGTCTAGGGGGGGGGGATGGGAAGAGGAAGGAGAGGCAGAAGGAGAGAGGGAGGGAGAGGAAGAGAGAGGGAGAGGAAGAGGAAGGGAGAGGAAGAGGGTGAGGAAGAGGGAGAAGGAGAGACAAACAAACAGACGAACGAACGAACAAACTAACAGGTACAGAAACAGAACGAAAGAAATGATAAGAAAGAAAAGAGGAGGAGAGGAATAAGAAGATATAAGTATGAAAATCATGTCGACGAATAGCCTTGTCTGTGTGAGGGTGAGGTGCCAATTCGCCAGTTTTCCCTTTTTTTCTCCATCGCTCATCCCAAGGGCACGAGGGAGGAATTATAAAAAGGATAAAAAAGATGTAAAAAAAATGTTAATTGCTTTAATCGTTTTCCTCTGTACGGTTGGATTGGGGGGGGGGTGTAGGCCTACATTTGACTGTTTATTTGTTCGTTTGTTTGTGTTATTTGTCTATAAGCTCAGCTGTTCATCATCATCATAACCATTATAATTATCATAATCATCATCATCATCACCACCACCATCACTATCATCATTTTTTTTTATGTTTTACAGCCCGTTCATCAAAACCGTTGTAGGTACAATTTATTGCCTGACTCCGAGCCAATGCTGACCACCTTGAGTGACTTTATTCACTTTCCCAAAGTCACACTCACAGGCGCACGAACGTATTCACATACACGCACACGCACACGCACACATATA